AGGAGACATGAATTTATTTCTTACTGTTTCACTGTGTTCATTCCATGATCTTAAATAGTTCTATTTATGCAAGTAGTTTACTTGGAACATTTGGAAGGTGCTTACAAGTTCTGTGATTATGTCCATACTAAGATATTTATTATCATATATATTGCTATATTTTCTTTTTCTACAACTAGAAGAGGGAAAAGTGGAAGCGTTTTGAGTAATTGTACGTCTACAGTCCAGCAGTGGAATACAACCCTAAACTTTTCAATTTTTAATTACCAACTTAGGAGATGTCCTCCTGGGATGAAAGTGTTTTTAGATTGGACTAATAAAATACATGCTCTGCCCTTGAGTGCTTTGTTACTTTGAGAATGTGTTCCTGGGTCTATTGAAGTGCATTAAACTGCCCCTAAGAACACTGTCAGACACCTTCTTTTTGTTTAATTAGCTCCTGACCTGGATCTGTCAAATGTTAAATTTACACCTTAACTGGTTTCTTACCAACTGTGATCTGATCCATATTGAATTTCTTTGCTTATTCTGGTTTGCCTTGTTAGTTGGAAAAATCTGTGTTGCTGTCTCTTCAATGTTTTCTCCACTCACTTTTTGGACTTGTATTCTGGAAACAGACTTTTTCTCATAGCTCCAGGAACTCCTTTTTTGAAAGTTACCTTTATGTTCAACCCTCTTTGACTGGGACCTAACTCTGTAGACTGTCCTTTCTTCACTCCATGCTACTCTGGGATCCGGGGAGCTTGACTAGAAAGGTGTAGGGATTCCCAAGAACTCTTGTCTATCACCACCCTTAGCTTTTTAAGTAGAGACTGGTTGGCCACTTAATGGGCCATCATGAATAGAGTTTGGTATTTTATTAGGTTAGGCATGATGGCCTTGTAAATACATACAAATTCTCTGATCTGGCTCTGTGCTTTCACTCCAGACTTGAAAGACAGTTCAAGACATAGTCACAGATGACACCTTAGCAAAGTCCACATTTATTATAGTTCTTTAGATAGTTTCAAGTCCTCATTCAAACTTTCTTCATCTCACCTACCACTATAAATATTGTCATGGCACGACACTGTCTAGTCAAACTAGGTTTGTCATGTGGTCTCAGTTTTTATAAACTATTTTATTTTACCATGACCGTGCTGTTCACTTTGACCACTTTCTTCCAAGCCAATCCAGATTTATGAACAATTAATTTTTTATCTTATTTTGGAAAGCCTATTTGAACATGGGTGAGTGACTATGGTTCTACATAGGAATATTCCTGAATTGAATTCAAATTGTTTTAAAAATATTTTCAAATATAGGTAAATGTTTCTACTAGTAGATAATTCTAATATGCTTCACAACTGGCAACAACATAAACATTTCATGACTCATTAGTTGTAAAATAATAATTTAAGACTAAGAGTCTTGGCTCAGAATGTAGGAGGCTTGACTTGGCAGATGAGGGTCTGATTCCTTGATTTACTTTTCCATGTTGTAAAGTAGGAATACTGGTGCCTATATGTTTCCTATGCCATAGGGATATTGTTAGGTTAAATTTAAATGACTGAAATAAATGGATTTTACAATTCTGAATATAATTTAAGAATGTAATTATTTTCATAATTGTCATGTTATGATAATTATGGAATTAGCATGAGAAACAACTACTTTGAAGTACTGCAAACTACAACTAATGTAAAGTACTGCTAATATAATAGGAGTTATTGCTATCACTTAATTTTCATCTGAAAACAGATTAAATTTATAATAACCATGAAAGATAGGTTATTAAGGGAACGTTCTAATGAAAAATGTAAAAGTCAGTTCCCACCTGAATGTTTAATTTATACAACACCAAGTATCTAGACTCCCTACTAAGTTTATTTGATATATTATCAAATGTCCAAATTTATAAGTGGTCGACTTTTTTTTGGTTTTGTTTTTTGTTTTTTTTTACACAGTGATTAATCTTCATACAGACCTAAGCAAGGAGTTAAAACTAAAGCTAAATGCTTTAAGCATTCTCCTCTAATGTTCACTTTTAAGCAACGTGAACTAATTGGGCTGTTGGCAAGGTCTGCTAATAATAGTGAAATACCCGTGAGATCTAATTAACCACAGCTAAGAAACTTTGCAGAATTCGCCTGCAAAGAGGCTATGTGGTAGCACTTCTAAGACTCAAGAGAAAGGTACTATCTAAAGATGCCACTTATAAATCCACAAAGACCTACTGGAGCTGAGCTAGTTGGCATTTTTCATCTTACAACTTCACTTCTTGATGAACTAACAGCTGCCTGGGACTCTGGCCATGGAGCTATGTCAGACAAGTTAATAGGTGAGATTTGTTTTTCAAGAAATCATATAAATATAGAATCTCAGGATTAAACGGACCTTAAAAATCACCCTTCTTCCCCATCAATCTAAGGTTTAAGTCTCTTCTTCCTCATGTAAATTATCAAGAAAGACAGAATCAACTATAATCCCACCACTTTAGAAGTAAAAATATTTTAGGGTCTTTTTTTTTTCCTATTCATACATATTTGAATTAATTAGAATCACATTATGTATTCAAATTTGCATCCATATTTTTCCCACTTAATATTATAAGAATTTTCCTATATTACACAAATTTTAAGAACATCATTGTTAAAAACTACACATTTTTCTAAGAGGTACACTATGTTTTACTTCCCCACTTCTCTAATATGAGACATTCCTTGGAGTTTCTAATTTTCTGCAGCTCTTAATAATTTTGTTGAACATATTAGTAATGAATGATTTTTCTCTTTTTAAAATATTTTCCGTTAGGATTTATTCTTAGAAAAAAATATTGTGAAGTTCAAGGAAAAAGATAAGGTGACTTTAATTTCTTCATAGTTATTTTAAGGTCACATTTATTATGTCTTCTCTTACTTTACACACACCATACTCTTTCAGATCTGTTTGGGAGTCGACCTCAGAATAAGAGAAAATGATGAAGCAGGTGCACTTTGTTTTCACATATGTACACAGTTTTTGTATTGGAAAATTAAAAAATAAACCCCTTTATCCACTTACTATTCAAAGGAAAAATATTTTTCAAAGAATACATTTTGTTATGTTTTTGGTTTTCATATTTTGGGAAATTTATGTCTCCAAACTGGGATGAGTTTCCTTCTTCTATTAATACTGGAGTTTTCTCAAACCAAGAGTGATGTATGATGGATATTAGGGAAGGGTGGGAGAAGGCATGAGAACGTATGCAACAGAAACAAAGTAGTAGAAGGGATTAGTCATCATGTGAGCAGGTGGATTGTTATGTGGTAATGAAATGTCAGGGGAGGGCCTACAAAAGGGCTCTGTGAGGAACATGTTTATGGTTTTATATGGGCAAACATACATTAATATGTAGAGTGTCCAATAAATATTTGCTGAATGAGTGAGTAGGTAAGTCATCGATACCTACTTATAGGAACTAGATGTTATGTGTTTATGTTTCTGTATGCGTGTGTATATATCTATATAGTACTTTATCTTATCTAGCAGTCTATTTCTGTTCTCTACATTGAGTTTCTGTTTTTAAAACTTTGAAAATGAGAAGTTCTTTGGCTTTAACAGATTATGGATTGAAAAGCTTCTCCAAGAGTTTTGTTTTTTTTTAAAATCCCAGTCTATTGAAGTTTTAAATTTACTGAGTTGGAACTGTGTTAAATTGTATGTGGAACATAATTTTGAGGAATAAACAATATTAATTAAAGAACACGTCTGGGCGTGGTGGCTCACGCCTGTAATCCCAGCACTTTAGGAGGCTGAGGTGGGTGGATCACCTGAGGTCAGGAATTCAAGACCAGCCTGGCCAACATGGCAAAACGCTGTCTCTACTAAAACTACAAAAATTAGCTGAGGCTGGTGGTGTGCACCTGTAATCCCAGATACTCAGAAGGCCGAGGCAGGATAATTGCTTGAACCCGGGAGGTGGAGGTTGCAGTGAGCTGAGATCATGCCACTGAACTCCAGCCTGGGCAACAGAGTGAGACTCCATCTCAAAAAAAATGTGTAATAATTATCTTGAAAGTCAAATTTCCTAGTAACATAGTCTTTCGTGCAGGCAATTGATACTTCCATCCTCACCTTACAATATAGGCTAGAAACTATTAAACTGGAATACCTCTACCTTTCAAAAGTTTTTTAATGCTTCTCATAAGGTAGAGAGCCTGAATAAACAGAGTAGGAGAATAAGAGTACTTGAATTCCTAGGTTTATGGACTGGGGAAACACATATGTCCTTATACATGGAGATCTAGGAAAGGAAGATGTAGGGGAATTCACGAGCATGTATTCATTGCCTGATAGGTGCCAGGCACTGAAGATACTATGTCAAGCACCACATAGGCACAGTGAGGAAAGCAACATGAACAGCATATTTGTTATGGTGGGTGCTAGGGAGAGTGTGTCTCTGATGACTTATATGTTTCCCTAATCTGCCTGCTTATGATAGATATTTCTTCACCACGTCTTTCTTCCAGTCGGAGCTGTGGGATCAAATGTAAATTCTGTGAGAAGAGGGAATAACCCTTACCTGTGAGCAGCACTTTACAGCTTACAAAATCAATCTCACAGCTACAGTTTGTAAACTCACAGATGTGGAAGTGGGCTCCAAAGCATGGGACACTGGAATAACTTAGCAAAGTCATATGGAGTTGGAACAAGAGGAAGAATACAGATCTCAAGTATAGAGTCAAGAATGTTCTCAGCAATTACACAGGAACTGTTGCATTATAGATGTTTTACAGGTGATAATACTATATATCTAAAGGGTTTGAAAGCATCATGGAGGAAGTGAAAATGAGTAATTTAAGTAATTACTGGGTTGACGGAAGCCAAAGACATGCAGTTAACTACCCTATCTCTATACTGTGAAATTCGGACTGTAATCCTTTTATGATGAATAGGTCATCTTTATCTCTTACAGGTAATTCAGACCCCTGGTCATCTTTCTTTATCGCTTGTAGGTTACTCCCTGATTGGATCACCTCATGCCTCCCAACAATGTGACTGAATTCATTCTCTTGGGACTCACACAGAATCCACACTTGCAGAAAATACTCTTTATTGTTTTTTTTATTTATTTTCCTATTTACTGTGCTGGCCAATCTGTTCATTGTCATCACCATCTCCTCCAGCCCCACACTTTCATCACCCATGTACTTCTTTCTCACTTACTTGTCCTTTATAGATGCCTCCTACACCTCTGTCACCACCCCCAAAATGATCATCGACCTGCTTTACCAGAGAAGAACCATTTCCTTGGCTGGCTGCCTGACTCAGCTCTTTGTGGAGCACTTGCTGGGAGGATCAGAGATCATCCTTCTTGTTGTCATGGCGTATGACCGCTATGTGGCCATCTGCAAGCCCCTGCACTACACAGCCATCATGCGACAAGGGCTCTGCCACCTTCTGGTGGTGATAGCCTGGACTGGAGGCATCCTGCATGCCACTGTACAGATTCTTTTCATGACCAACTTGCCCTTCTGTGGCCCTAATGTCATTGACCACTTTATGTGTGATCTCTTCCCATTGTTGAAACTTGCCTGCAGAGATACCTACAGACTTGGGATGGTGGTGGCAGCCAACAGTGGAGCCATGTGCTTGCTCATCTTTTCCATGCTCCTCATCTCCTACATAGTCATCCTGAGCTCCCTGAGATCCCATAGCTCTGAAGGACGGCACAAAGCCCTCTCCACCTGTGCCTCCCACTTTACTGTTGTGGTACTCTTCTTTGTGCCTTGCATATTCACCTACATGCGTCCCGTGGTCACCTACTCTGTGGACAAGTTGGTGACGGTGTTCTTTGCAATCCTCACCCCCATGTTAAATCCTATAATTTACACAGTGAGAAACACAGAGGTAAAAAATGCCATGAGGAGTTTGTTGAATAAGAGAGTAACTTAGTCTGTGCATAAAGGCAAGAAAGTGATTAAATGTATAAAGAGGGAGAAATAGGTCTGTGGTAAATTGTGCAAGATAATTCAGGTAGTTTACAGATCATTGACAAAAACTAAACAAACAAATATTAAAAAAAGAAACCCAGAAACTAACATTTATTGAGCACTTAACATTGGCTAGGTCTTTTGCAAGGTATTTTGATAGCTTTTAACATACTTTACCAAAGCTTTAATGTTCATGTGCATTGATTCTGGATATGCCATGGAAAGAACTATGAATCTCTAGCTTGATAATTCTAGAGTATGTTTTTCTCTAGAGTCTCACTGTTACTTTGCTAAATTCTTCATACATATGTTACATACATAAAATTGGCTTTTGCACAGAATCTTGATCTTAGAACTTGGAAAATTTTTGCTTGGCTCATGGTAAAGCAAACAAAGAGGCTAGAAATCCTTAGATATGGGTAGATGGAGGGTGACAATTGGGGAGTGACAGAACCACTGGTGATTGTCTTCCTTTGTCGCTCCCTCCCTCCCTCCCTCCCTTCCTTCCTTTCTTCCTTCCTCCCCTTTCTCTCTCTTTTTCTCTTTCCCTCCCTCCTTCTTTCCTTCCTCTTTTTTCTTTCTTTATATTTTTCCTTTCTTTCTCTTTCTCTTTCTTTCTCTCTCTCTCTTTATTCCTTCATTCCCTTCCTCCCTTCTTCCTTCTTTCTTCCTTCTTTCTCTTTCTCATTCTGAGTCTACTGAAAGCAAAGGGAGACACCTACAAAAAAGAAAGACATAATTAATAACATATCTTAAAATTTTTTTCCTCAACACAAAAAATATGCTAGAACTTATGAGATTACTCTTAATTTGTTCTGATTTTCTTAAATCTCCTTACAGCTCACAGTTTTTCTTGCATATAAAGGACTTTGTTTGTTTCATTTTCTTCACCAATATTTGAGAAGCTATTTGAGTCTGCAAAAGTAAACTTTCTTTTATTTAATCTCAATAAAAAGGCATATGCTAAGTTTCTAAAGTTATTGTTCATTATGTGTGCCACATATATTTATATTAAATGAGTGTCTTATTATTTATCAGACAGATTCACTTCAGTTAGGTTACTTAAATCATACACTAAAATGCCGGTTTCAAGATTACTGTCCCCATTTTATAGAGAAGCAAATGAAAGCTAAGAGAGGCACACAAATTTGCTTGTCTCAGGTCATACATCTGAATTTCAGCAACAAAATTTGAATCTAGGTCTTCCAAATCTGTCCTACTTCAAATAAAACAGTTGTTTATGGTGAGTTTATGTCCATAGATAAGAAATTTATATGTAATCTTAATGATTCACTTTGTCCTTCAAGAAAGTTGATGCCAAATTCGTTGTGGCCATTTCTTACATATAGTATACAGTCTATATGTAGTTCCTATATGCACATGAATTATATATTCTTATATGCAGTATATATTTTTACGTGTAGTTCCTATATGCACATGGAAAATACCACATCATTCTATGTTACTACATAACATTTCATGAATCAAGGTTTCTCTGACTGTAAACACAGTTACTTCTCACAAATGATTTCTTTCTTAAGCTCACTGATCATCTACATCTGTTTCTTCCATAATTTGAGCATATAGTAATGCCAGAACATGAGATATCCGTTCTACCTGTTTTTTTTGGGGGGGGTAGGGCAGGGATGACTGTGTTTTAGCTTATGCACGAATGTTCAAATTCATAAGAAATAGAACTTTTTTCTCACAAAATCTAGGCCTGAAAGATGATATCATAAGCACTTGATCTAATAAAAATAATTAAATTTGCAATTGCTAGTGAAATTTAAATATTTCAACAGAATCTAGATGAAATAATTTGTGATTCACTTTGTATTATGATTGTTAGATAGGGGATGAGGGTAAGCCAGGGACAGGGAGAGAAAAAGTATTGAGAAATGTTATTTTTATTCTAAGACAGAAAGATTTGAAGACAGAAACTAAGGGCAACGATTGTGTCTTAGGGGGTACACCAAGTACTCAGTGGAGGGGTGAGAAGATTAGTTAGACAGAAATTATAAATGAGACACAAATTTTAAATTGTTAACAGCAAACCTGGAAGGTGTAGAACTGAAAGAAGACACGTAGTCAGCCTGGCGTTCTCAGTGGATGAAGTCCTGCTGCTTTATAAACGATGTTTAAGAATGTTGAGAAATTCCTTTGCACCCATCATCAAGAGTCTCTCATGAAGACCAACTTCAATCTGATTATTTCTGGTGCTTAAAAATAAAATGACCTAAAAGCAAGTATGCACATTTTCCCCTATAAATTAAACAGAAAAATAATATTTGGATCTGATGTATAAGAATGCTTTGGTTTAATCTGAATATTCAATTCAGTAAAAATACTAGGCATTATTTAGGTAAGGGGAGTGATACTATTGTTAAGGACGACTATGAAGCACATGTATTGTTAGGTTTTTCACATATTTTGCCTTCTGCCATGATTGGAAGCTCCCCCAGACCTCCCCAGAAGAAGAAGCTGCTATGCGTCCTGTACAGCCTACAGAACTGGGAGCCAAGTAAATCTCTTTTCTTTATAAATTACCCAGTCTCAGGTATTTATTTATAGTAGTGTGAGAACAGACTGATACAGATAAAATAAAATACATAAATTGGCAGATTGTATGTCTGTGGTGCTAAAATTTCAGGGGCAGGGTCATTAGGAGAATAAAAAACATCTAGAAAGCCTCCTCAGAAGGAAAATAAAGAAGAAAAAAAAGTTGAGGATCATTCCTGTTATCCATGTCTACATGGTTAGGTAAGAACACAGTTACTTGTTTTTAGTAACTTAGGGAACTGAAAAGGTAGTTCAAGTGCAGAGGTCAGACCATCACCTGTGAGCCCAAATCCAGTTAAGTTGAGAGACTCTCCTTTCGCAGGATACTTTGAGGGTATTCAGCCAAATATGTCAGTGAACCAGTTGTAATCTAGGAAATATATTGCAAATGTAGAATAATAATCTTTCTTTTATTGAAGGTAGGAAAGGAATGAAGGTTATAGGCCAGACATGGTGGCTTACAACTGTAATCCCAGCACTTTGGGAGATCGAGGTGGGTAGATCACTTGAACTCAAGAATTCAAGACTGGCCTGGGCAACATGGCAAAACCCTGTCTCTACTAAAAACACAAAAATTAGCCGGGCATGGTGGCGCCTGTCTGTGGTCCCAGCTACTCGGGAAGCTGAGGCAGGAGGATTGCTTGAGCTTTGGGGGGTCGAGGTTGCAGTGAGCCATGATCCTGGCACTGCGCTTCAGCCTGGGTAACAGAGCGGGACCCTGCTTCAAAAAAGGAAAAAAAAAAAAAAAAAAAAAAGAATGAAGGCTATGATTCCAAATATTTTAAAAATTAAAACCATACCATTTGGGCTACTGGTTATGGAAGGAGAAGAAATTTAGTCCTAAATATTTTTCTGGCTGAAGTTCATTTTTAAAATTCTTAATAATGGCAGCTATCCTGCAGCTAGATGTGACACAATTTCAATAGTCTGAAAACGTTAACAGAGTATCAGACTAGGTACTAAAAAATTCTGTCCTGACACTTGCTAGGTGGCCAAGAGAAGTCGTACTCTCATTTCTTCATCTGTATCGTCAGGCAGAACAAGAACTGTGTGGCCATTCTGTTACTGAAGGACAGAATGTAGCTGAGGAACAACTCATTGAATGGGGAACAACACGATCTAGTTTTGCACTTGGGAAGCATCAGCTTGGCTTGACTCCAGTGAAGCTCTGCCCTTGGGAAAAACCCAGTCACTGCAGGGGCGGATGTACTGCGATTAGTTTCTCAGTCAGTAGAAACACGGCCTCAAAGGGATGTGGTTGGAATGAGGCAAGTCTGAACATTGTGAAGTTCTGTGCTATTTCAACACTCTTCCCTCCTGTAGCCCAGAACCAGTACCCAAAGGAGGACATCTCATTAATGATGTTTCTTCTGAAACGTGGATTGGAAGCTGTGTACAAATCGAGCTCAAAGAGGAGCCAAATGACAAGCATAGTCCCACGAATGATTCTGTAGACAGCCTGGCTGGCTACGTTTTTTGGTAACTTTTCCTATTTAGATAAAATTTAAGCTTCTCTGCCAACCACAGGTGTTGTTTCTCATTTAAGTTCTTGGACACTTAGAACAACTACTTTAAATGTTTCTTTGAAATGCCTAGAAACTTAGCCCTATCAAATCTCCATTAAATGATTAATTTATTTTTTGTGCAGGTCCTGACTTACTTTGACACTCTAATGTGCCATGGTTCCTAGCTCTTCTGAAGAAGAAAATTCATGTGAGTACTCCTGGATAAGGTCAGACTCTCAGGCCCTCTAACATGATTGCAGGAAAACTTACTTGCATAATCTCCGCCTTCTACTTAGTGGGGTCATCAGGTAACTGGCTTTTGGGGTTCACAGAGATGACACCAAACACCAAATGAACTTTGGAGAGAGCCTTAAATTTTTATTTGAGCATTAAACACATTCCTATTAATTTGAGCTACTATTTTGAAACTGTTAAAAATAATTGAATCACCTGATTACATGCACTCTTATATTATGCTTAAGATGTCCATTAATTCACTTGTTTGTTTATTTGTATATGAACATTCTGCTCTCAGAATGGAGAGACTTTATGAACAATTCGTAGCTTGATTTGTTTTAATCTTTTTTGGCAAGTTATCTGAAATTGTCTACTTTCTGACCTCTATCCAGATAATTAAGATTAGAAAATAAAATAGTGTATTTATATTCTAGAGACGTACTCTTAGGAAAAGGAGGAACCAGAATAACTGGTATGCCTTGTATGGTATTCAGAGAAATCTTCTGTTTCTCTTCTTTCATTTGACTCTCTCTCTGTGAAAAAAAAAAAAAATATATATATATATATATTATATATGCATTTCTTCTTTCCACTTGTTCCAACCTCATTTAACCTTTATTTTTCTACTAATCAGTTTTGAGAAAGAAATTACATGATGTCT